GGACAGATATTATAAACACAACAGTGACACTGGACAGATATTATACATTTACAGCAGTGACACTGGACAAATATCATAAACACAGCAGTGACACTGGACAGATATTATAAACACAGCAGTGACACTAGACATATATTATACATACAATAGTGACACATGGACATATATTTAAATACAGCACGTGACACTGGACAGATATTATACACACAGCAGTGACAACTGGACAGATATTATAAACACAGCAGTGACACTGGACAAATATTATAAACACAGCAGTGACCACTGGAACATATATTATTCACACCAGCAGTGACACTGGACAGATATTATACACACAGCAGTGACACTGACAGATATTATAAACACAGCAGTTGACACTTACAGGATATTATAAACAACAGCAGTGACACTGGACAGATATTATATAACAACAGGCAGTGGACACTGGACATATATTATTCACACAGCAGTGACACTGGACAGAAATTATAAACACACATGCAGTGACACAGTGACAGATATTTACACACAACAGTGACACTGGACAGATATTATGACACACGCAGTGACACTGTGACAGAAATTATAAACACAGCAGTGACACAGTGACAGAAATTATAAACACAGCAGTGACACAGTGACAGAAATTATAAACACAGCAGTGACACAGTGACAGAAATTATAAACACAGCAGTGACACAGTGACAGAAATTATAAACACAGCAGTGACACTGGACAGAAATTATAATCACAGCAGTGACACAGTGGCAGATATTATAAACACAGCAGTGACACAGTGACAGAAATTATAAACACAGCAGTGACACTGGACAGAAATTATAAACACAACAGTGACACAGTGACAGATATTATACACACAACAGTGACAGATATTATACACACAACAGTGACACTGTGACAGATATTATACACACAACAGTGACACTGGACAGATATTATACACACAACAGTGACAGAAAGGAATGGCTTTTATCACATTATATTTTTACAACAAAATCACGTATAAAACACTTTCGGTGTAAATATTAACAACATGTACACATATGCATATTTGTGGTAATCTTATTGTTCAATACCATCATACAATATGTATGCGGATAAACATTAACTTGAGTGTATTTAATAAATTTGCAACTCATTCAAATTCTGTCAACCTTGTTTTTTGACGAACATGTATATTTGGACAGTGGTGTGATGATTTGAATTGATTGTTTTGTTATAGTTCGTCGGCTTATGTTTATCTTCATAATATTATACGGCGTCATTGATGGCATTTCTTTTTGTTTTGCTTCATAGTTCTTGATATACGAGTTATCGGCAAAAATACGACATGTACGAGTTGTCGGTAAGTACGTGAAGCAAAGTATGGTACCATCCAATTTATATACAAACACTAGAGCACTTTTAGCTCAGACTCTATCCCTTTCATCTATTAAAGCGTGCAGTCACTTTGATCTGTACTGCGTACTGAACAATTGTGGTGGTACTGTGATTGAAAAGTTCATCTATGATATCACACTTTTCCTAAAGTAGTGAACATCCAACTAAACCAGAGAGAGAAAAAAGCTGTGTTAAAAATAGCTTAGTTCATGCTAGTGTTTGTCTGGACGATATAGTCGCTTGAACTAGCGAAGCAGTATTCCTGTATAACCACATTTTAAGTAGTGAAATATTTCTTATCATCTACATGTATGTCATAATGGAACACTGCTAAAGTAATATCATTACCAATCAGAACACGTCGTTGTCGTCTAAAAACCCCAGTCACACTGGAGCTTAAGATTACTTGCGACCACCGGCGACTTGTAAAACTGACGATCATCAGCGATTGTCTGCGACCAAAAACCAATTTTTGCACGTATAAATTTACTTCTGCGAACTATCGTAAGACCAGTCATCATTGACAATCGCACGACAGGTCATAAGCAAACGTACGATGGTCTCAAGATTGTGTGGGATTACTTACGACTACCCGTGACCTGTCATGCGATCACCTACAACTAGTCGTACGACCATCACACGATTACAAAAGACTACTCAAGATTATCAGTGACTAGTGGCAATTTGTAAAGACTGTCGTCAGATTGTCGCACTTCTGAACGACCATCGTGCGACAGCCTAAGACCTTATAAGATCACTAGCGACATGTTTGATCGCAAGGAGGTTTTTGTGCAAGCTCAAAAACCTCTCTACGACTGAAATTGGTCGTGGGACCTAAATAAGATAGCCTGCGACTGTCAAAGATCACCGATGACCGTCGTAAGACATTTTAAAGATTGTCCGCGACCAGAGGTCACAGGTGATCGTGAACTGGTCTTCACTGGTCGTAAGCTCTAATGTTACTGGGGCTTACTTCCCCTTCTCCACATCATTATCATCATAATCGTATTCACCACTGCCATCATCGTCGTTGTCATGATTATCATTATAATCACCATTATCAATTTAATCATCGTTAACAGCGCAATAACGATGGTAAAATGGATTATCCTTGTGACCCTGGATTAATATTGGCGTGTTTAAAAATTGTTCCTGGAGCTCTGGCCTGTTACTTCTCTTACTCTGTTTTCTCTTTTTTGCCTCTCACAAAGATCATACAAATGCCGTTACAAATGTAGTTACTAAAATACATCGTTGCGAAGATTTACGCACTTTTTGTCATTGAAACATTTTCCTCAAAAAGTCAAACTTCTTTTAAATTCCTGTTTAAAATATCTGCCTGTGAATTAATTTAAAGTGACACATTATTTGAATGTTTTCATTTTTAATGTTGTTGAGCATTTTGTATTCTTACGGGTTTGTAAGGAAAATCATATAAATGCAAAGGGAGATCACCTCTTTTTAATTACAATATATTTTAAGCAAAGTTGATTTTCTTTAAGCGACATACTTTTAATACTAGTCTCTATTACTGCATTATATCAGCGTAATTTCTCATACAAATCGATTAAATGTACAGTATATAATCAAAAGGACTCCGTTGTTTATGTCCTTATTGTATAGTTTTAAACATGCGCGAAAACTATCCAGCCAGCTAACGGGAAGTCGAAGGTTTTACTCTGATGCCCGCCCGTGTCTACACTAATACATGAAGAAACAACCGAGGTCTAGGTCTCTAACTATTAGTCAATTTGAGAATCGACAATATTTCTTCTATAAGAAATGGAACTATCACTATAAAGATGACTCATACCTCCACATTAACTATTTGAAAAATAAGTTGTCTCAAGCCAAATATGAATTAAACATATGATCATGTAACATATACATATGTTTGTTTATTTAAAAAATCAACTCTATCATTTTACCAATTTTAGTGTCAGTGACATTGACACTAGGGCGTTCTTGAAACAAGAGGGCCATGATGGCCCTAGATCGCTCACCTGACCCATCAAATTCATCCAAACAATTACCTAGACAAGCATTCTGACAACGTCTCATGACAGGTGAGTCAAAAATGTGACCACTACAGTGGTAACAAGGATTATCCATATTTGAGCAGTGTGACCTAGTTTTTTTTACCCAGGTGACCCATATTCAAACTTGACCTAGAAATCATCAAAACAAACTTTCAGACCAATTTCCAGGTACTTGGATCAAAACAGTAGCAACTAGAGTGTTAACAAGATTTTTTCTATTTTTAGGCTCCGGTGACCTAGTTTCACATGCGATTTCGAACTCATCCGAGCAATTACCTAGACAAGCATCCTGACCAAGTTTGATTTGATAATTGAGATGAAAATGTGACCACTAGAATGTTAACAAGGTTTTTTCCATATTTTGGGCGGTGTGACCTAGTTTTTCATCCAAGATGACCCATGTTCGAACTTGACTTAGAAATCATCAAAACAAACTTTCAGACCAATTTACAGGATATTTGGATCAAAACAGTAGCCACTAGAGTGTTAACAAGATTTTTCTATTTTTAGCTCCTGTGACCTAGATTTTCATCCGAGATGACCAATGTTCGAACTCATCCGAGCTATCAATTAGACAACATCCTGACCAAGTTTGATGATGATTGAGGCAAAATTGTGACCGCTAGAGTGTTAACAAGGTTTTTCTATTTTTAGCTCTTGTGACCTAGTTTTTCATCCGAGATGACCCATGTTCGAACTCATCCGAGCTATCAACTAGATAAGTATCCTGACCAAGTTTGATGATGATTGAGGCAAAAAATGTGACCGCTGGAGTGTTAACAAGGTTTTTCTATTTTTAGCTCCGGTGACCTAGTTTTTCATCATGAGATGACCCATGTTCGAAACTCTCATGCAAGCTATCACCTAGACAAGCATCCTGACCAAGTTTTGATGATGATTGAGGCAAAAATGTGACCGCTAGTGTGTTAACAAAGTTTTTCTATTTTTAGCTCCGGTGACCTACTTTTTCATCCGAGATGACCAATGTTCGAACTCATCCGAGCTATCACCTAGGCAAACATCCTGACCAAGTTTGATGATGATTGAGGCAAAAATGTGACCTCTAGAGTGTTAAAAGTTTTTCTATTTTTAGCTCTTGTGACCTTAGTTTTTCATCCGAGATGACCCATGTTCGAAGTCATCCGAGCTATCAACTAGATAAGCATCCAGACCAAGTTTGATGATAATTGAGGCAAAAATGCGACCGCTAGAGTGTTAACAACAAAATGTGAACGGACGACGGACGACGGACGGACGACGGACAATCATCGATCTTAAAATCTAACCCTGAGCTTGCTCAGGTGAGCTAAAAAGCAATTCCCATCAGCTTCATTACATGTACTTGCTTTCTAACCAGTTTTCTATTTTGTTAACAGTGAACTAACAGTGACCCTAAGTGGTCCAAAAGAAATCTTAACCGGGGTCTCCACATTAACTTGCAACATACCCAAAAGGAAGTAGACTAAACTTTTTTTTAAAAACGCTTCTTTACATAGATAGATGTAATTTATCTCTCCTTTAAAATACAAACTGTACAAAGTCTTATCAAAACAAAAGCAATGATGTTGAATATTTATTGTTCTCAATAAAGTCAATTTTCGCAAAGTAAAGACAAGTTTTGTCCTACATAAATGAAAGAAATACCAATCCCCAAACATTCTGCGACGTAAAAGTCTGTAGCTAAAGTATGACGTACACGTTTCGTATATAAAAACACGTAATTAGAACGAAGCACTTCTAAAACATTTCTAATAACAAAGAAATGAAAAATACGATGATCAAATGGTGCGAATTATTATACACAGGCAAATTATAGAAGAATTAACATGTTGACGTCATATAAAATCCTTTCAACACTAACTAAGCAATAAAAGCAAATTGCAAAACAGCCTTATCTAGTAAATATTGATGATTTCTAGCAGAAATGTCCACGGGCTAATTAAGCTCGGCAGTTAACCAAGCTTTAATAGTATCATAGTGTGTATCCATCAACTCAATGTTGCCTTCAACGAAATCTATTACACCAAGGAACTCGCCTTTAAAACCTCCCACATTAGTATTTCTATCTATGAAACTTTTCACCTGTAAAAAATAAGGCAAATAAATTACACAGACTTAAGAATACATCTACATGTAGACTAAATTTAGCTTAAAATTAAAATCAAAAATGTTTATCACTCCTCTTAAATAACTGACTTGTAGATAATTATAATATTAAAAATAACTAAAATGGTATTAACAACAAAAATATTATTCACTTTTTATTTTTTTTTATTTAAACATATTTTATTGCTCCTTTTATACACATTTATAACAATATATTGTAATAATATTTATACAAAAGTGACCCACGAGTTCTTACAACATCAACACACGATTCTTCCCTGTTATTGGTGTTGTTATTATTATCATCATAATAATTATCATCATTACAATTATCATCATTAATATAATGAAAAAAGTATTCGATAGTAGTGATAGAATAAGAAAACCTCGGTGCGTAAGTACATAACATACTATTCTTTGATACAATTGCCATTTATATATAGACTTTGTTGACTGTTCGAGCCACTTGACTTGCCCACACATTATCACATTCAATGATACAGTTTTTAAGTTATAATAATCTTATTAACTTTGGTTTATACAGTAACAGTATTTGATATATACTTACAAGATTGACTTCAGAACGTGAATTGAAAGGTCGTGCAGCAGCAAAGATTATACCACTTATTAGATTGATATTATCACCATACCTGTAATTTCAGTTTATACATAATTTGAGCCGTGTCACGACAAAACCAACATAGTGCGTTTGCGACCAGCATGGATCCAGACCAGCCTGCGCATCCGCGCAGTCTGATCAGGATCCATGCTGTTCGCTATCAGTTTCTCTACTTGTAATAGGATTTATAAGCGAACAGCATGGATCCTGATCAGACTGCGCGGATGCGCAGGCTGGTCTGGATCCATGCTGGTCGCAAACCCATTATGTTGGTTTTTCCGTGACGCGGCTCATTTAATTTTAATTTCGAGTGTATTGGAAACTATGAGCTTATGGAAACACTCTCGAATCTGGAACCAACCAGTACCAATCAATTACAAGACCGACGGTCACACCAACACATTATTAGAACTGTTATACTGTTCGTAATCATCTACAGGTACGAAGATTACATACCTTATATTATATACATGTATATTTCCATAAAAATTACACACAAAGCACAAATTTAGACATTCAGCAGATGGTTACAGAAATGAACGTGGTTAAATTGACTCTGGATTCAAGTGAATCGTACGCTCCACACAACATAACTCGGTTAGCCACGGACAATACCAGAAACATCATGATGTTACTGAAAACGATGTTAACAGAAAATAAAACAAGCGGAATCACTGTTCCCTGTCTTGCAAGCCTGTACTTTGTATTGCGATTACAAGCACTTGTTAATTCCGATCACTGTACCTTTCTAGTGAGCCTTTATATTTTAGCGAAGCAGATTTGTTTCATTATACACTGCGATATTTGATTTGAGCAATGTACACAGATTGATGATAAGACCATATAACAGATGAAAAGCACTGAAAGACCTTGTACATTTGTATGGATTCTAAGCATTAGCTTAATTAATTCATCCAAGTACATTGTAATATAGAAGTTATAGAAACGCCTTGCCTAGGCTGCAAGTCAAACAGAAGGAACAGTCTTTTACATATATTATTATGAAACTGAAGCTTTATAAAATATCCTACATCTGATACTTAATTTCCATCTTTATTTGATATAAATCATAAATTTACACATGTTTAAATTATGGTAAAAATATATAGTTATTATAAGTCTATTTTTTTTTCTCAAAAAAAAAAGCATTACAAAAACACAGTGAAACATATACATTTGCATAAATACTCACTGTTTTAGAATGGTGTCCCAGTTTTCTTCTAGAATATGCCATGCTAACAGACGACCGACAGGCGAGTCTGATAAATCAATCATTACAGAGACTTTTTCCGTTTTCGAGAAAATATCTGTATGAAACAACATTTCTGCAAGTCTGCAAACCAAAAACAGATCAAAATTTATAACTTATCCATGCTAACATACATTTATCTATTATAGGAACATTTATTGCAGAAGAACACATTTGACATTTGGTTGGCACTAAGCAAACGGTAAAAATATTATTTTCAATGAGAAGACATCACGCTAGTATATTGTATTGAAGCAAAACGGATCTGATCTTTAACATGAAAGTAGCACTAACATTTGATATTTGGTATTTACACAAACATTTTGAATCAAATACTGATGTATGAGTTTAACATATCCAGAAATAAATTCAGAAACGACAGAAAGGTTTAACAATAAGTTAATATCAACAAGATGGTCTATCTGAAAGAAAGACAAGCTAAAGATAACAACATACCTCATTATGAGCCAAGGTTTTTGTGTACACGTCAATGCATGTAACAAGAAGTTTGTTTCACTCGTTGATTCACTAGCAAAATACCGAGACAGAACATGATTCCACGCTTCCTCGTCGCCATGTTCTACCCCTGTACAATAAACTGTCTCCTTGAGGTCGGGATCTACACTGAAATAGAAAATATATTGTACTATGATTTGAGCCGCGTCACGACAAAACCAACATAGTGCGTTTGCGACCAGCATGGATCCAGACCAGCCTGCGCATCCGCGCAGTCTGATCAGGATCCACGATGTTCGCTTACAAACCCTATAACAAGTACAGAAGCCGATAGCGAACAGCATGGATCCAGATCAGACTGCGCGGATGCGCAAGCTGGTATGGATCCATGCTGGTCGCAAACCAACTATGTTGGTTTTGTCATGGCACGGCTCATTTGATTTCGTAGTAAATCCAATATTCATTTTTGTACCTCTTTTCAAGACCACATCTTGCTTTGGTAGTGTTATATCTGTACATTTTTAAATTCTATCTTTAGTGCAAGTCGGTATAACTCCTATTCTGTCATCCTGATTTCTATCTTTATTTCTTTTTATCAATTTACCAATTATTCTAAGAACAATTTTTGTCAAGAGACCGAAGTAACAACATCAAGTAATTAAGTGGTTATCATATTTTAATGAACATAATTTTCTGGAGTAACGGTCGTAAATATACATAAATTACCTGACAAGTACACATACACTTCATTTCCCTTTATGGTGACCATAACAAAGACATTATAGGAAGAAAGTATAGAACCCCCTGATGAGAAAGAATATTTACCTCAAGTTGTCATCTTGCATCCACGCTGTAAATACGTCCATAGCATCGTCAATACAGGCTTTTAAACCAATCTTACAGGCAATCTTGGAAACCATTGAGTACTGAAGCCTTTAATATAAAACAATTCTTAACACCAGTATGTAACAATTATGTGTTTGTCATCTTATAGGATTCTACACAATGTTAGACCAAGAAACATTTCCGTTATCAATTCTTAAAATTAGCTGTACCACACGCAAACGGTTTAAATGATTGTCAATGAGACAACAAGCATGTGATTTTAATTCCGACCCAAATATACTGAAAAAAAAACAACTTCCCCTGTGTTTAAGTGGAGATATAGTGTATTTAAAAAATCAAAATGTTAAATGAGCTACGTATATAAATGTAGTTAGCTAATTCTTAAGTTAGTTATTCCAGTTTTCTTCCAACAAGATTCTATCATAATTATATTTGAATGCTTTAAATTTTCTAAATAGCATACAAAAATAAGGCCTGTTATGTGTCAATGGACCGTATATATATACGAAAATAAAAGAAGCAAAACTCTCTAAAATGCGTCCAATGGTAACTGAAGTTTATACAACATGAGATTTATTTTTGTACCTTTGAAGTTCGTTATATGTCTAACAGATCTATCAGGCCATGTAGACCCGGGCCTACAAGTTGGTCAAGAAATTGACAGTTTTTAAAATTTAAAATCTTGAAAGTGGGTTCAAACCGCATGGTCGAATCAAGTGTGTTTGAGGCTTATGCATAATTTACCGTCCTCAGTAAAGTTTGCATCTAATCAAATTCATAGATCTAGTTTAAAATCATTGTTTTGATACTTTTCCTTGAAAATACTTTGGAACGCGCATTTTGCTCTTTTTAATCCGATTTTGTTTTTGGCGTCTGGGTCTAAGCCCCTAGACCCATTTTTATGGGCCTACAAGTTGGAAAATGCTGGCTACGCCCCTAGCCTGTACGGTATAATGAATATATATTACTGCCGGTTGAAAAAGAAAACACAGTAGCCGTTTAAATAAAAATAAATCACCTGTTATAATGATCGACGGCATCAGCAGCGTGGAAATATGTTTTCTCTAACCTCTCCCTCATAAATCTCTGTAATATATATATACATATATATAATTCTTACACTGATAGCAAGTGTTCCTTATACAAAATACTTAGATCTACAGTGTTTAATTACATACGACTGGACAACTCAGTATGCCCACGGGATAAGAATATGGGAACGTCATAAATGACGTATAATTTGACATCAAAGAACCAAATGATCTTACTTCAACACCAGAAGTCATTCATTCATTCATTCATTCATGCATATTACAATAGGAAAAAGATAACTATAAGTTTTTCTTGTGAAATCATCTCTCAACTCAGTATACATTCATACTAACTATCAATCACATGCAGTTTTAAATCATAGCTTTCTACATAACATGAACGTGGTAATTTAATGGTTACTTTAATAGAAATAATATAACTATTTATGACAATAAATAAACAATAATTGTACGAACTTTTATTCCCTGAAAAACAACACGACGAAGTTAACTATCAATGGATCATGCAACAACCTCTAACTAATGACTTAACTTCTAGTTATAACACGACCAAAGCTTAATTTGATGTTATTGATACGGTCATTTAAGCTTCAAATTTGTAATCAGTCTAATAGAATAAGACGTGTTAGAGCGTTAAAAATTATCATTTAATGAAAAATATGTCATTCACATTTCATAAACATTGTACGAGATATTATAGGAACATGCTTCCTGATTAAAGCGAGTTACAACTACTTGTAACTTACATACTAACTTCTGCCGTCCACAAACAAGCTAAATCAATATGAGCCTGCAAAACTTAAAATTGTACCATATTGAACGGACTTTAACTTATTTCTTTCATAGTGGAATTACTCAAAAAGAACTCAACGGTGATATTACAGTACCAAGAAGAGAAAAATCATAAATTTTGATTGAATAAGAATTATCTCACAAATTGTATTATTTACCTCAAAATGACCATATATGGCTGTTAGTTGTAACAATGACCTCATATATTCAAGCTCCCGTAACGCAGACTTCCAAACTACAAAATCATACTCTACGTCCAGATAGTCTAATGTCTTCAATGCTATCTGCATGTCGAGAAGTCCGGCCCTACAACATATTATTGTGATTATTTGTCTTATACTACCATTTGTATTAGCATCTCTTTGCAAAGCGTTAATGCAGAAGAATGTAGAAAAATATAAAAACTATATAATTTGTACCGAATAATACCTAAATTTACTCTTATTGAAAGAACCGTTTAATTAATGACCTACCTTGATAAATGAAATCATGTTCTTTACATGGATCATGCTCATTAGATAGATAGGTAGTTGTATATTATGATTTAATCAAGCAGAAATTTGTAATATAAGCTGATTAGATCGATCCAAAAGGAGTCTGTCAATGAAAACAGGTAAAAATATAATAAGACAATGTAATAGATAATACTAGTTTATACCTACCTTGCTAGATTCCAGGCATCGTTAATAATTTGGGCTCTATTGATCGGGTGTATAACAGTATGGTCGGTACGTAGTTGTCTTAGCAACGCATTCCAATTATCATCATCATAGTTTACACGATAAAACCCGTATTGTTGTATGTTGCCAATGATCCAGTCTACGTTCTCTAATTTCTTATCAGTCACTTTAAATAAAACAATATGTAATAAGACATCAACTCATTCGGAGAAAGGAACCCTAAAATACAAACAAGCAAACAAACAAACAGCAACACCAACTTAAAAAACAAATATATTTTATGTTCTTGGTAAATGTAACAACCATATTTTAATACATTTCTGGAACAGACAGGTTTGTTTTTTGTTGTTGTTGGTTTATATTTTTTTGTTTGTTTTACAATAGAGCAATGACAAAAACAAAATAAGAAAATCACAGATTAGGTTTTATCGAGTCTGTTCACAAGGTATAATTAACAGCGAAACAACTTCATGCCACCTCTCCCCACTCTAAGCTCCATCTTAAAACCGACTTTCATGTTATTCAATAATCAACACTAAAAGTATTGTAATCAATGATCCAAGAAAGTCTAGAAAAATTTAACAACTCAAAGATGGAGCATATGCTGCCAAACATATCAACGATCTATTTATCACCATTAAAATTGAACCAATTGAACCATGTGATGTTTTAACAGAAATCATTCCCGATTCCAATCTTATCAATTTAGCCTCGTTTCAATTTCCAGAGTCCAAAAGTCCATATCAAATGCATATCGTACCCTTAATAGCCCGTTCTCATTGCCAGGCTCCAAAATATCTAAATCAAATGCATATCGTACTCAACATAGCCTCGTTTTTAGTTTCGGAGACCAAACTATCTATTTTAAATGCATATCGTACTCCATCTAGGCTAATTTTATTTTTACGGTTATATCAATTCCTTATTTTCGTAGAAGTAACAAAGTTCTGACAAAGTGTCAATCAATTTGAAATAAAAAGGACATTACACATTGCTGAACACAATATTGATTCTATTGGACGTCAAAAAAAAGATGATCTATCACAATAAAAAAGAAAAAATTCTCAAGATTGAAATCTATGACATAAAAGATTTTAGAAAAGTATTGCTAACACATATTATTCCGTATATTGGTATCTTATTTAATGAAAGACATTTGTATACAATGCAACGGTAAGTGAATTTTCGTCATTGTTAAATTGTGCTCCATAATTTATCAAAGTGCTGTTGTATTTTACTTCAATAATAGTAATTTCAAAACATTTAATTAAGAAGATTGAAAATTACATGAGACATATTACATTATCATTATATTCGAGAATGCACCAAACCGACACTGCGAGTTTTATTATTTGAGTTACAAGATGTTATGTTTCCAGAGATTCAAACTTTTTAGAATTTATCTCAGTAATTGTTACGTATTCGACATTACATTCCACACAATTGTCACGGTTCAGAACTGTTCACTAATTAGGGGCGGCCGAAAAGTTCAGTCGGTAGAGCCGCGGTACGGTATTCCAAGGGTTCCTGACACAATAAAACTGCCCGAGGGTCCCGGGTTCGTGCCACCATAAAACAATGTGATATCAAGTTATGTTTTAAATTATTTAGATATGTTGTTGTTGTTCAAATCCCTATTTTACATTGAAACAATCTTTTGTTACCCTACAAATATACATGTTTACTATCACATGGAAGAAGAATCGTCATAAGAAACTGTAAAAAATGACTACTCCTAGACAAAAAATCACGGCATTTCATTCCGTGACAATATAGATTGACACATCGACAAATAAAAAAAAAATATTTCGAATACAATGTCAACAAGTTCATTTTTTTTTAAAGATATCTGATACAAACAATAACCTTACAGAAAATATTTTACAGACTGTATTCTCGAGATAACACGCGAGATCACGACTCTCTTGTTATTTGGAAGTATCTAATTCAAGATTTTAATGAACGTCAAATATGACTCAACTAATACCAGGGAAAATTTGTGAAAATAAAAAACGATAAAAATTATGTTCCAGCCTGAGGACATCTATTTGATGGATTCGTGAATTCATCAAAATATGAAGAATAAAACATCATTCAGAAACTGTGAAACATCAATAATTGTTTCCAAGGAAGTGTGTTAAGAATTTGAGGCATTCAGAGTAAAATAGAAAATACCGTGAGCGGTTTTGTTTGAGATCCATGTAATATCGGCGAATGTTTTGTCAAAGTTGTTTTCAACGTCTGTCGTATACACAAACGGAATTTTCCAGATGCTGAAAGAAATAAGCAATTAAATTACGAGACAACATAGCTAATTAGTGGTTGAATTTAAAATCATTTTTGATGTGGAAGGCTCCTTCTGTAACTGCTGAACTGTCGTTCGTGATGTATGTAACATAACACTGGTGCTGATTTTAAGTTTTCATGTAGGTGTTCATTTTTTATGATTAAAATAAATGTGTTGACGAATATTAGTAACAATAATAATTGATAACAGTTTAGCCAATTAGTATTAGTATTATTAATAAGTATTATAAATGCTATTCCATTTTTACTTGTTTGAGTAAACTGTTAAAATCAATAAAATAGAAAAATAAGCGGAAAATATTAAGCATAAAAGTTTCCTTTCTTGAAGAAAGAGTTTAAGTAAAACACACGCACACATGCGACCGCGTTACTCTTTGCTCCTCTGTTTCTAGAAACGCCGATTGAGTTAGCTGAATTGTGGAACTGTTTACACGTGCTATATTGACCACTGGATAGTTTGCTTCAAGTACCCATGTGTCCATAACAGCTTTCACGTCGGTATAAGTGTGCTTGTCTATAACCGCTTGCTGGATTATAGAAACAGACATTTCTATAAATGAGCCGCGTCACGACAAAACCAACATAGTGCGTTTGCGACCAGCATGGATCCAGACCAGCCTGCGCATCCGCGCAGTCTGATCAGGATCCATGTTGTTCGCTTACCAACCCTTTTGCAAATAGAGAAACTGATAGCGAACAGCATGGATCCTGATCAGACTGAGCGGATGCGCAGGCTGGTCTGGATCCATGCTGGTCGCAAACGCACTATGTTGGTTTTGTCGTGACGTGGCTCAAATATAGTACGAGCAGGTATATTCCCTTATAACAATGCTTTACCATTATAAATATGATACACTTTATCTGTTGTTATTTTCACGTAATTTGATAAGATCAATGATTACAACAGGGGTTAATACACCTTGGTTCAATGTCTTATAAGAATACAAGTGGGTAGTTACAGTGTGAACGTTTTTATGTTCTAGAATTTCAGTTATATATTTTACATTGTCGTTACCTTTAGCTTCTATTATAGAGAATATCCAATAAAATCACATTTCAGTCCTGGTTAAACAAGATAAAAACATAACGTGTACAAATATTCCCCTAGAATACATTTCATTTTGTTATTTCTATGATTCTATCATACATGTTGTTCTGTTTATCCGAAAAATGTTTTTACACGAACTACAAAATAGCACTTTAATAGTTATTTGTGAAAATGATATGTGACATTTTAACTGTTATATTATAATGCAAAATCATTTCAACGCTATATCGATGTTGTATTAGACCTTCAATTCAAATACTTAATTAGAATTTATCAGCATACAAATAACATTGTCTTAAGCTAACTAACTATGAAATACCAATTGATAACTAGTTCCTGATATTTCAAATTATTTGAGTTTAAGTACAAACCTCAGACAGGGAGGACCAAAGATCATTGTGAGTTGCTGTCTTATAGCTGAACTTTCTAAGGTACCGCTAGAAATAATAAATACAACATTGAATTATGTCTTGTAGCTGAACTTCGTAAGTACTGCTAGAACATATAACATTGAATAACGTCTAATAAAGCTGAAATATCTATGGTACCACTGCAAAAATAAATATAACATTAAATAACACCTAATAAGTGAACTTTCTAAAGTATATCTAGAAAATATAAATATAACATTGAATAACGTCTTATGGCTGAACTACTGCAGGGACCACTGTAAAAATGCAACAAAAACATTATGAAATATATCCTCAATTATTTACAGAGGTAAACTGATTTTTTCAATTATTTCATAATTTTATTTATTTACGGATTTTAAAGTAGATATTTTTTGTCGAATAAATTACAGTTGCAATATCTTCGATGCATTTATTATTAAATTGTCTTGAATGTTAGATAAAAATTGTTTCTTTAATAAAAGAATCAAATCCTGATTTTATCAGATGAGTGTATGAATCTATAAATGAGAACTAAACCTAATAATGCACACAATGTGCAATTTTCATTCATTATTTTTTTACATATTTGGACAAAATTGTTATAAGTTAAATCTTACAGTCAGTCCTTTCCTGAACGTGTCTTCACCGAGGAAAAAGTTCATCATCCGTATCACGGAACCACCCTGAAACAAAAGAACTAAAATGTCATATCACTTTAAATCTTGAATACGTTCATTTTTCTCCTAAGTAACTTACAATATTTAATACATGGCAAAATACTTGTGATAAGTATAAAAAACAATCTTGCACTTATATTTGATGCAAAAAATAAGATTATTTCAACATTAAACGAAACACAGATTTAGTATAGCTGTGTAGGGTCTTGCTTACACAGAAATTGAAGCCAACAGTCACCTTTTAAATAGCTCTACTTTAAAATGATTTACCAACACCGCTGTTTGCTGAAGGTAAACAATTCCTCAAAATTCCCCAGAAAACATTATTATGAATAGAAAACAACATTCAATGAAAAGTTTTAAAAGAAATTTATCATTTACAATGTTTCAAGGTGAAACATTTTGCAAAAGTCTTGACCTTTACAGAAATAATATCAAAGAATCAGTGTTCTGTAGAATAGATAAGATTCTACAATAGTTTCATTTTTGGAAGAAAACAACATTGACTACGTGTACTTAAATGTATGAAACTATGTACAAACAAAGGCTTTGGCCAAAATCATTAATTAAACAAATGTTATATAATTAATGAGCGTGTTTGGACAATTCCAGTAATAAAATCATCCTGACAACGACGTCGACATGTTCTACAAACGACAGACTTAGTTAACGTCTGAACAATAAGAAAGACAATCTTTTTACAATAATCACCTTTGCATACGATATAAGATCAAATATTCTGTTTATTTCATCAGGATTATCGACATGTACATAAACTGGGTGACTCGTAAACGTGTCATCGTCCATCTGCATAACATTATGAACGCCGCGCGGCTCAACAATCAATTTGTTTACCTGTAAAAATACAAGACATAATTTAATTTTGAAAGATGAATAACCCATTGGTAAAGTTCTACATCATATAAATCTGAAGATCTGTCTAATTTCTTATCGGACATTTACTTCAATATATTATGTAGTCTATATTTTAGTGTTTTTTTTTTGCAATTGGATCAACTTATCTAGCACTCGAATCACCTTGTAGTTGGCTTCCATTTATTCAACGAAAAGTTGTTAGACTCATACGCAAGTTGTTATAAAAGTACCGACTGTTAAAATCTGGTGGTTCTAATGTTAGTGATAAGTAATGTATGAAAGTACAACTGACATATATAAAGACACAGATTCAGTGTTCAGTCTGGACAATAAGAAAGCATAAAAAGCTACAAAACCAACAATAAAATTTTTCAAGCGATTGACCCTTATCACGCTGTATATCTTAAATGTATTTGTTCGCAATTCAATCTGGACAAAACTATTCTTCATTTCTGGAAAAAGTAAAAAAAAAAGTTCATGATCTGGGTCTGCACTAAGATGAATTAGGTCTGCATAAGTGTGGTCACATGGATAGAATCTTCTGTTGCCAGCAGGGTAAGGGTTAAATAATAAACAAAATGCGGACATTGAACTAGTAATAACTAGTCCTAACCGGAAATCACGTATTCATGATCAAAACAATATATACAAAAATAAAAAATAATCAGCGTAAACACACAGTAGCAAAACACTTAAGGTGAGTTTCATCTTCACCGATTTCTACTCCAATGATAGCAGAAAGGTCATTTAAACTAAGTAAATAGCTATCTGTAACCTTTTCACAATTGATACTTTTCGGAACTCGGTAAATGTGGTTATTCCAAGCTAATCCCCAAGTACAAACTTTTACCGTTATAGCTTCACGGTGCACTACAGGTCACAATAGATTAAAGTAACCTGTTACGCTCACGTTTGAAGATATCACTGTAAAAGTTTGTTTGTAACCCCGGAAAAGCTGGAAGTACCCTACTTTTCTAATTTAATAGTATTTCTATAAGAGTAAACATGTAATGGTATAACATTGTTTTTTTTACGGCGATACAATAAGCTCAGCCCAGAATAGATGTTATCCGGCATTCCGCAAATGTAGGTTTTCTCATCTAATCAATGGCTACAAACAGATTCTTAACCGTTAAAGGTGTCCGATGCACTTTCGTTCACAATAGAGTTGTAACTGTTACGTGTGTATGTTTGTTTGTACCATTTGACTAGATGAAATCATCCCAGTTTTGCCGAGTTTCGGAGCATCTCTTTTAAGAAATATATTTGGTCTTCCCAGCTATGATAAAAACCCCAAAACAGGAAAACAACTACATCTACCGAGTTACGGGTTACAGCGATTAGAGGGGTATATTGCCATTTAATTATTCTTTCTTTGTTTAACTTCGTAAAAAATATATAAATAATGCACATGTACATGTGATAACGGGATACAACATAGACAAAAGAATACCATGTTCCAACTTGGTAACACACGATCAACTGCTAAGAACATCATGTATGTTGCGAAACCTGAAAAAGATCAGATGTAAGAACGTAATTCGGATAAATTATTGTCCACTCTATAATCAATATGCCTAAATAGAACATGTTAACACTACGCAATCTGAAAGAATAATTCTTATAAAGATTGATTTTTCAGTAGTGGGATGGACAAGTGCACAGAACAATCATTTCCGGAGACTCTCAACAACGAAATAGTCTTCCATCAGAAGATTTTTCTTAAAATTCTAATGTACAAATAGGTGAAAATCCTGTACTGATATCTTAAAAGTTAAGAAGCTGAATTATTAAAGATCGTTTACCTCTAGAGGGTTAACTGTTTGTCACTCTTTATTGACAGTTAAGAATAGACATTCTTTAAGCAGAACATAAAGTGTTCTTATTCTATATTCTAGTAGGTATATCTCTTATAATTCACCATCAGAATGACCATACTGGCAATTCTATGATTTAATGTTATACAATTGAAATGTCTTATATGTTGTTTTGTATGTATGCGACTTTAAGTATAGGTAAAAGTTTATTAGTACGTATTTACAAAATTAAATTGGCCAGGTGCTGTGTTTTTTGGTGTTTTAAATTATTTTAATAAACAGTCGATTTACTAGACTGATTAACAGTTTGCCGATTTCCTAAAGTAAATGTGTTACGATTTATTTGAAATACTGCAATCCTGTTGGAAAAAATAATTTAAAACACTAATAAAGATTATATATACATGTATATAAGTATAAAAATATTCAGACAGCCTTTATTTCCGATTACTTGTACTCATTAACACAAACTTGGCTAATACCAGTAATAAGCAAACGGTTGGACATATACCGTACAATTAATTATTTGTCTTTTTTCTGCATCAACGCCCTAACTATACGACGAAACCTTTTTAAAATTCTCTCACTTATCGCCAACAGGTTTTTGTCATAGTGGAAATAACTGATAATGAGTGCTCATTAGTACATTTAACATAACTGTTAAATAAGTGCGAGATTCTACAGTACCATGCTTTTGTATGAACTATTCCGCATTTCAACTAGACCACAGATCTTTGATTTTTCTAAAGGAATGGTCAGAAGAAGTTGTCTAGGTTTAGAAATACTAATTAACTCCACTTTCGTATCTCAATATCTAATGCTATTTTTCACTATATGAAAATGTGTTATTTCTATCTACATTATACAAAAGAACTATTTTTTTCCTCTTTGGGCCTATGATATAGCTTTTCGCTAATTAAATATTGTAAGATTGTGTGGGAACTGTGGCCTCCGATACCTTTGTATAGGACTCACCGTGAAGTCGGGGGTACTCCTGTCCCCCGACCGCCATTGGGAAGTCGAGGGACAGGAGTGCACCTGGCACGGCCTGGGGCGCGTTTCATCGCAGGAAGACCTTATTGGAGCTTCCATGCCCCAGGTCGTGCTCTGATTGAATTCAGGTCCACGATAGAGTAGACGGAGACCCCAGTTCCCGCCGATCAGAAAGTTTTTCTAGATCATATTCAAATTCACTCTGCATAACTAAAAACTTGAATATTATCTAACACTTTAACTAAAGGGAAGTAAATGCAACAACATCTACGTGCAAAGCCTTTTTTGTTATCACCCCCATCTACCATTCGCATCTCTATACCATACCTTTTGTTATTGTTAAAAATTAGACTTCTCCATTTATACCCTAAAAATGATTCGCATGTTTACTTAAATTTTTGTAGTATATTCATTTACGTTAAAAATATTGATTGTCGTTACGACTATTGAGCAGAAATCGTCAATTTAATACTACACATTGTTGAAATAGAAAGTATACATGTGGTGTGTGTGTGTGTGTGTGCGTGCGTGTGTGCGTGTGACGAGAAAAATGAAACAATACCTTTGAATGTAATACTAGCTTTCTTTATTATTTAATATGTTTTAGTAATATATATATACACAACAGTTTTGGCTCTCCACGTACTTGAAAACTGGAAGCACAATTCAATTATATTTTTCGCTAGTATGTTAATTAACTGCTATTTGAGCCTCATTATACTTTATTCATGTTTATTACTCCATTATGTCATGTTTGTACATGGAATGAGAGAATTAAATGTTTTTTGACTTTTGACTTTGACTTTGAACTTATTCCGAGTGAACATAAAAAGGGTCACAATATAGTAAAATATTGGTGATTTTATCATGTTATATATAATATTTGTACATAATTTTAATATGGAATGGAACCATTTACACATTTTCTCGCTTTTAATTTGAGTATAAAGTGAAAATGTGTCACAATTTAAAGATGTAACTAGGCAACAGCTGGCATGCCATTGCAATCGGTAACATTATCCTATTTAAACACATAAATGTTTCAATTTTATTTCTTACCAACATAAACATTACAAATTTAAACTAACCCTAACACCACGTCATTCCGTTGAGTAACATAACGGTTATTTAAAGAACATAACAATATAAAGTGTACTGATTATAAAATAAAGTAAGAGAATATCAGGATTGTCACATACATTGATAAACTTAATACATCATCAACTTTTCAAAACACATTCTTTGATTATAAGCGACAGCATTTTACTTTTTTTGGGGGTATGTGATAATTATGTAAATGCACGTATTCCGTCTGAAGAGAATTGCCTTGCTTCAGTTGTTATTAATGCTGTGTTAACATAATGTTCTTTTTGTTTTTTATCATGTAAAAAATGTTTGTTTGTATGTATATATGTTATGCTCTTCAACTGTTGGATGAAATAAAAGAATATATTCTATATATTGCCTTTATAAGTTTTTAGCCGCTTGAATTGGGCTACTTTTGAAAAAAACAAATTGCCCTTACAATCTAACCAAACTATAACACAGACACTTTGCTTATTTACAGATGGTCGATATATTCTCCTTCGTACCGAATATTTAATAATTTAAGGCGTATGTGGAGGAGTTATCCTTTTCCATGATGAGAGTAGAACAGCCTAACTGTCCGTTAATGATTTTACAAGCTTTTAAAAACTTTTAGACACTTGTAATTCTAGTATGATGAAACACAACTTAATTAGGTTATACAAATCTATATAAAAATAGTTGCTTTATGTTCATGACCACATTGTTAATGCGGGAGAAGTAATCCAATTATAGAAAACAAAACAAACTAATCATAGGTGATTTTTTTTCACATCAAATTTGATATAGTCCTAATAGCAAGAGACGATTCCAAGCTTCACTTGGGTATTCAATGTTCAAAGAAAATTTGTCATATTAATCAGTGACATGTTAAACGTGACGATTGGATAGTAAAACCCATTTAATTTTATGTGTCGGCAATTTGAGACTATAATCATACTGATGCATATTCTATTCTGACAGTGTAACATTTTGATTTTAAATTTTTCTTTATCTCATTAACTATCATATTTTATCAATGAATATGATATATATGATAACATATAGCTAGATATAATGGCCACCTGTTTATAACGGACATTTAAGCTACATCCCCTTGCTAACCATTACAGACTAGTAAGGCTGTACTTACATAGGTGAAATATAAATAAAATACCTTCATTGAGCCACAAATCATCCCACCAGTATGGAGAAACCAAATTACCAAACCACTGTAAAAAAGATGCACATAAATCAATTGTAAAAAGTATAAATGAAACAGAGATACATGCGTCAGTGAAAGTTTAATTTCGTGCACAATAACTGAATATGTCATTGAAATTGTCTTGAACGTACACACATGATCAGCCATCAGTTAAAACTTTCAGTTGAGTGAGGGTGTTCAAATTAAGGTAAAGTTCAGAAACAGCATACTTTGGAAAATTGGGGGGATGGGGGGGGGGTATCACTGAGGTAAGGCGGTATGACGGTCGGTGTCCATCTTCCCCACCCAAAAAATATTTACACCCGAATATTGATCCTATTTCAAAATCATTGTCTTGCATTCGAGTGAACATTTTGTTTTGTTTTTCTACCAGAAGTATATAGACCGAAACATGCCTGCATGGTTTTAATATGCCTGCATGGTTATTAACTTTCTAAATTGAATCCTTTATAATGAAAAATTAACTATTATTTAAAGCCAGATGAGTGCATTGCATAAATATAAATAAACTTACCTGGTGGGCAACTTCATGAGCGATGATGATAGCAATGCCTTCCTTCTCGTCAAGGGAGGAAATACCCTCCTCGTAAAACATCTTACTTTCACGGTATGTGATAAGACCCCAGTGTTCCATACCAGAGAATGACATAGTCGGTACTGCTATCATATCTATACAACAAAAAGATAATTATAATAAATTTTCTTTCAGTAGGATTTTTAACTGTTCATTTCATTTCAAAATTTCAGAACAGCAGAAGTCAAGTGCTGTATGACAGCTGTAAAAAGTTGCCCTGAACTTCTCTTCAGTGTTTTTATATGTTTCTGGTCCTTCGGGGTCATTGAGCTCTGTACTTTGAAGTGTTGAAAATTAAGTACGCTCAAACTGGTGCTACGGGGGCGTGAGGGATGTTGCACTTTTTCATTATCCCTCATGAACAGACTCAATCAAACCGAGTCTGCAATTTTCATGTAATTTTGCTGATTTTAATGCTTCCGAAAGATCACTTTTTTCCAGACATTTCAATGAATTTATTTCAGAGAAATGTATATTTGATGTATTAAGAATTAAAATAATTATCGTTACCAACAATGCTATATTTATCATAGTATGAAAATCCAACCTTCAAAGAAGATATTTATCTAGCTCGATGATTTATCAGCCAAACACCGAACTTGTGTCTGATATTATTCCTGCTAAGTATCATAAATAAATAACAGTATTCTTAACCAAGCAGCTTTTTGTTTGTTACATTTCAACTGGAACATGTACAAGCTAATCGACACAAAAGGGCCACGGTCAGGAGGACCTAAAAACCTACAAATTCTTTTGTTTTGTGTTTGCGGAACTAAGATGTCCCTGGAGGGCAACAAAAATAAAGCTACTAATCGACTACTTATCGACTACTAATCAACATTCGCACTTTCGATTTTATTGAGCGTGTTATCGAGATATAAAATGTAATATGCAACATCTCCAACAACCCCTAGCACCGTCTACAAAATACTCCCTCTATGAAGTATTCATACAAATTATACACTCTTTAGAATTTTAAATATTATGCCAAAATGTTGACATCATGTTGTTGATAAATAATGATGTGAGTACTATTTACACATTTTTACATATTCTTTACACATCATATACTTCACACATCATATGCATATTCTTTACACATCATATGCATATTCTTTACACATCACATGCATATTCTACACATTTTATACATTTTTACACATTTTATACATATTCTTTATACATTATATACATATGCTACTAAAGGATTGATTTTATTATTATTGTCGATTATTCTGAAAACATGTACTATTATTTTAGAATGTAATATATGTACTAATGGAGACATTTTATCAACGTGTTCGTTTGGAGAAAAGGTTTAACGTGTGCGGATCAGAAATGTTAATCTTTAGTAGCCATATTGGCTTTAACATTGTCAGTTGTTATATTTATTACTAATTCAGATTATTTTTCTCTTTGGACCGGTTTTACCTTAATCGGAATATTCTAGTCAACCTCATATTTAGGTCGAACAGATACAATAAACGTTTTATGACTGTCATGCAGATAATTTGTTAAGTAATTTGCATGCCTATCAATTGTGTCATTGACGTACATTGTTTTCTATATACAGTCACTAATTATCATATTTATAGTAGAAACCGGTATAATTTGGTATAACGTGTGAAATGTCATCAAACCAGAAGGTCACAATTCCTCTAAGAACACGTAAACTCAATAACATTGTAAACATTATTATAGATCCGTTTCTGAACTATAATGTTTATCAAAATTATGGTTGTTAAGATAAAAAAAAATGTAAGGAAATGATATATTTAATTGTTTCATGTAGAACCCATTCAGTTTAAAATGATTTATCAGAGAAAAAGCAGTACTTATATTTCCACTACTAGTATGTCATACTTCAGACTGGCCGGTCACAGTTGTCTTTTTACAGCTCGGATTTAGTTTGTATAAAACATTTCAGGTGATATAACACGACCAGGATCCGAGGTTATAGAGATATTCTCTTAGCTCAAGCTTAATCATTTTATTGATTGCAGAAATGTAACTGACCATGAAGGTCGAGAAAGTTTAATAGTTTAAACTTCGTAACAATCTATATTTGATGTTCTTAACGTCAACAAATAATGTTATATGGTCCCATTTAGACCAATGAATATGTTTTAAATAGCTTGTAAGTTCGACTAGCGGGAGTTAAATATGAATAAAGTTTTTTAGATAGTCGGTAATTACAATAACCAAGAAATTTTGTTTTTAATTATCTTATGAAGAAACATATTGATTATTTACATGTAGTTCCAAAATTTTTTTTTTTTTTTTTTTTTTTTTTTTTTTTTTTTTTTTTTTTTTTTTTTTTTTTTTTTTTTTTTTTTGGGGGGGGGGGGGGGGGGGGGGGGGGGGGGGGGGGGGGGGGGGGGGGACAAAAATTTTTTAAAAGGTTATTTGGGGTTTTCGAAAAACTTTAAAAAGTTAAAATTATGTTATTTTAAAATTTTTTTAAAAAGGGTTTTTAAAAGGGAATTAAAATTTTTGTATTGTAAATTTATTTAACCCAAATTTTTTTTTTTTTTAATGTTGTTAGAATTTGATCTAAGTTTCTTAATTTTGATCTTGTATCTCTTTTTCGAGTTTTAATTTATGACTAAGAAATATGAGAACGGTACACACTATTTTCACTTAGGGCTACCCTCCTATTATGCTGACTAGTTGCTCACTATCATTAATGGTAAGAGGTCCTCGGAGCTGTGTACTAATTCTCAAATCGTCGCGGAAATATCAAGATGTATACATGTTACCATTTGGTCTTTCAAAATAATTGTACCGATTATCAAGCAAGTGAAAGATTACCTTCTTTAGGTAGGGAATATGGTATTTGAAAGTAGTCCTCAAAGAATTCCATGAACTTCATGCCTATCTCGAGAGCATATCTTGTTTTGTTCGTCTGCTTACTTCTACACCAAGTTCGAAACTACCGGGGAAAAAAACAAAATGGGTACGTACCTTTTATCATTAAGCATAGATTCAAATATTTTACTATAGAATAAAAAGACAAGCGAAATTAATTGTATTGTAATGTAGATTGACATGAGGTACCATAAGAGGATTTTTTCAAGACAGTAGTCTTTCCAAGGTCATGAAATATAGTAAATATAGTCTCAAATGTCTGTACATGCTTAATCTTATTTAAGTTAAGATTAATTATTTACATGTAGCATTATTAAGGAGTTGATTTACACTTGATTAGTACATGCTTCAAGTTTTTAGTTTTAAAATGAGAGTCTTAAAATATCTGAAACATTAGCTATTCTAAGGGGATGTCAGATAAAAGAAATGCTATATATAATCGGACAAATTTCAAATATTCGTTATATAATCTTCTTTTTTATCATATATACTCACAGTAACGTTGTTCACTGTTGATTCCAGATAGTCAAGGTCACCTACAGCTATGGCAACAAGATATGTCGACATTGGCACGTTCCGTGGTTCATCAAATATGTCCGTATAGTAACCGTCATTGTCACTGAAATCATTTCTTGATATTGTACTTTCTTTAATTATATCAAGACATCAAATATTGTCTTAATATTGCGAGCTGTCTGAAAATCATACCTTAATATTGAATGTTTACATTTTTTGAATCAGCTGCTAATACTTAAAATCCTACATAAGTATTTTAAATTTTCATAAAATACTTATGTTTTTATTTTATGTGTGTTTTTCTCTCCAAACACAATCTTATGATAGTTCGCTTTTTATATACTACATGTATTAGATATTTCATGTTTTCCAACAGACGATATTTGAACAGTGTACCTTTCTTTAAAATCATATTGATATAAATATGATTATATCTTTTTTCATATAAATTATCTTTTTCAATTATATCTTAATATTGTATGTTGTTTTCAAAAATCATAAATATCTAAGTAACGCAAGTTATTGTATGCAATTATGATAGCTTGACATAATAAGTTTCATTGTTTAATTGAAAACATATTTTGATATCATAATCTCTGTCATTCATATCTTGTTAAAAGTTTTCTCAAATTCATATTGAGTTTGTAAGTTTTATCAAGATCATATCTTCATAGATTGTGTTTTCTTAAAATATAATTATATTGATACGGACAGTTTTATCAAAACCATATTTCAATAATTTAAGTTTCATGAAATTCATATGTATATATTAAATATTTTCCAAGTCGTTATTGATATTTTATACATTCAAACAATATAACTTGGTATTGTGACTTCCTTAAGATTATATTTTGATAAAGCTAATTTTCTCAAAATCATATCTTCATTGTGTATGTTTTCCCAATAGTAGCGTATCTTGTCATTGTAAGATTTTATCAAAATCATATCTTGATAACGTAAGTATTCATCGACATCACAACTTGATTCCAAATTCATATATTGATAGTTTACATCTTTTCATATTTTGTTTTTTTTTGTCAAATCATATCTTGACATTTTAACTTCTCTCAAAATCATATCTTGTTAATTGAAAGGCTCCATTTGCCTCCGAATGTTATCATTATTTTATTTCTCAAAAACTTTTATTTTTGGTATCTTGTTACAGTTACCAAAAATACTAATTTGCCTTTTTGGCAATTTGTATAAATTTAGAGTATTTTATACGGAAGTCAAAATACTACAATGTTTACAGCTTGCTACCTTTACAACACATTAATGCACATTTAGTGCTACTTTCTTCAAATGCTAAACATCTAATACGCTCTAAAGCCATTGTTAAAACATAACTAAAGACATGTTTGACAATTCTAAAGAATCCAAGAAATATGGATTTCTTAGGTATAGCGTGCCTTTAAATTTTTTTCAAAAAAAATATGTTGATATTGTTAGCTTACCGAAAATTATATCTTGACATTGCATGTCCAAAACTTGCATCGTGATACGTTTTTTTTTTAAATTATAGAAATCGTGGACAATGTATAAACATTTGCAAGCTCTATTCAACAATAACAAAAAATAAGCCGAGAGTCTCAAATGATTGATAATGTGTACACATGGAAGATGAGCAATTGGAATCATTTGTAAGGACTGATTGTTATTGATCTACTAGGTTAACAACAATATCTCATTATCTAGTTCTCATCAACAACATTTTATCTGCAACAATAGTATATCTGCTAATTAGAAGGCAATGCCTTTTATAACACTGTTTTTATGTTTTGAATCAATACTCATATACTTGTTTACAGGAAAAGGTAAAGATTTATGTAAAACATTACAAAATGAACTTCAAATGGTTATAAAAAGTAAACATCTCCCACTGAGAATTTTGTTTATATGTACACAATATATATCTACATAAATGTTTAAATATAGATTTATTTTGCGTACATCTGTTCAACAACATTTAATCCCACAATTTGGAATCGTTAAAAAAGATAGTTATTTAGAAACTAACATTAAACATAAAAATATTAGAATAAATCATACGGTCCAACAGTAAGACGTTTCGGGAGATTTGTTAGACTTTTCAGCTCTTCTTTTCTCTTGATATTGAAAATAAAGACAGCTTTGAAGTCCGGCTCATCAAAGCATGGGAAAACACGTCGTGCATCCGTCGGCTCCATCATTGTAGTAAATATGTATCTAGAAAATACAACTAGATGTCAAATTTAGAAAAACTTGTATAAAAAGTGCAATGACAAAAAAGTTGATTTTTATTCAAAACTTTAATTGCCATACTCATATTAATATTGAAGCGAAAAAAGTAATAAGTGTAAGTAACTTAACATCAACTACTTCAACAAGAACCACCTTTTTAAATGATAACTGCACTGTGTTGTATGACAACGACTATATAAAAGTGACATTATGCCCTTCCAAAAGGGTATATAGTGGGTGAACGAGTTTCAGTATCAACTTTTAGTCAAGGACCGTTGTAAGAGTCAATCCTTTGAAAAATATAGTTCAATCAGCTCAATTTGACCAAAATGTCACTTTAAAACAGAGCTAAAGTTTTCAAAATAGGAAAATTGTTTATCGATAACCATTGCATTTTCTTTTAATGATAACAATTGCATTATCCTTTAATGATAATCATTACATTTACTAATAACTATAACTATTGTAATATCAGAAGTGACCTACTTTGTCTGCTCTCGTTCTTTATACGGGCTGTAATAGAAGCCTCTCAGAGACTCGGACATTCTGCTCACGGACCGGATGTATATTGTATAGTGTACCCCGGCAGTCAGCGTGTACAAGGACCTAATCTGAACCATTTCTATGTCTTCAATATACCACCAGTCAACAAGTTCAGTAGTACCAGTTTTATTGGTGATAGATATATAAGATATGTTATGATCCATGGAGTGTATCAATATGTAGTCTGTAGATTCTATACAATCTAAATCAATCACAACTTCACCTGAAACAAAATGATAGCATGATATCAGCTAATGTCATAACCTTATAAATAGCTTATGTCATATACTCGTACATCAATAAAAATATGCATAATCATTTCATTGTTGTTGTTCGTGATTTCTGTATCTTATGTAAGAATGTCATCTCACACTGCACCTTGTTTAAAGTACTTGTCTGAACTTTCATAACGACGATAATGATAACACAATATGTCTGTCTCACTGGACAAAACTGTAGTAGTGTCCTTCTATCTGACTATATCACTATATCAATTACAATACTTCTAATATTATATATATCTGGCAACCATTGCGACACGACAATATGTTTGATTAGGTTCCAATTATAGCTCATTCAAATCGTAAGAAGCAGCTAATAACGGTTATCTATCTTAATATTGATAACAATGGCAGTAATGGCAATATTTACTGAACGAATAAGATTGTATGTTTGATCTTCTTCTATATAACAGGTACTTCTATAACTTTTAAGTGACAGATAAATATATTTTCGACATTAAATAAATTCAACGAATTGTCACATTCTTCAAGTTGCCAAATTCTATCAAATGTCGGATTCGACTTACTGTCATATTCAATGAGACGACTTCCGATGAAATGTCATGGAAGCATTAAAACATCCCGAAACACTGTTATAATCATTCATTTTTGGAGAAAGTTTTAGCAGAAGATGTGCACAGGAGTTATTTATGGAAACAGAATAAGATGTTAACAAATATTCATCTGCTATATCTAATAGGTTTAGTGCATGAACCCAACTCTTTATCGGAAATCTGCAAACATCATTGTATCCGATGATTTCTCATAGATATACAAACAAAAAATATAAAAGTTACAAATGACTTTATCCTATTGAGCGTTTACCCTAAATAAATTTTAAAATCTGGGAAATAGTAGACCCATCAATAGCAATGGTATCATAAAAATAGAAATAAAAGTAGGCTGTTTGTGGTATGTTTGTAAAGTGTCACATTGAAGGTTCCATGATAAACGCTGTATGAACACATCTGAGGATGTTTCTAAATTCAAAATTTTACCATTGTTTTGTTCAAATGTTGAATTCTGCTTACGCCGGTGCTAGAGGGTGAACGGTTACTTGCAACGTTCAATACAATGAACAGGCTCAATCACACCGAGCCTGCAATATTTTTACCTATGGGATTCTGTTTTTATTTATATATCTTATTGCGAGAGAATCCTGTGAAGTAAAATATAAGTGTATGTTAACAGATTTTTTACCCAAGAAACATTTGTACACTATGTAAAGCAGTTCAAAATGCAACATGTGTTTACCCATTTAACATTGTTAAAAACTACGTGTATTTCGATTATTTGGTTTATCAGCTAAAATGACTTCAAGCGTGTTAAAATCATTGAAAATCATTATGAGAATTTATAATCCAAGGAAAAAGACAAACAAACAAGAGGGCCATGATGGCCCTAGATCGCTCACCTGAATTATCAAACTCATCCAAACAATTACCTAGACAAGCATTCTGACCAAGTCTCATGACAGGTGAGTCAAAAATGTGACCACTACAGTGTTAACAAGGATTATCCATATTTGAGCAGTGCGACCTAGTTTTTTACCCAGGTGACACATATTCAAACTTGACCTAGAAATCATCAAAACAAACTTTCAGACCAATTTCCAGGATACTTGGATCAAAACAGTAGCAACTAGAGTGTTAACAAGATTTTTCTATTTTTAGCTCCGGTGACCTAGTTTCACATGCGATTTCGAACTCATCCAAGCAATTACCTAGACGAGCATCCTGACCAAGTTTGATGATAATCGAGTCGAAAATGTGACCACTAGAATGTTAACAAGGTTTTTCCATATTTGGGCGGTGTGACCTAGTTTTCCGTCCAAGATGACCCATGTTTGATCTTGACTTAGAAATCATCAAAAAAAACTTTCAGACCAATTAACAGAATATTTGGATCACAACAGTAGCCACTAGAGTGTTAACAAGATTTTTCTATTTTTAACTCATGTGACCTAGTTTTTCATCCGAGATGTCCCATGTTCGATTTATTCCAAGCAATGACCTATTCAAGTTTCCTGACCAAGTTTGATGACAATTGAGTCAAAATTGTGACCACTAGAGTGTTAACAAGGTTTTTTCTATTTTTAGCTCCTGTGACCTAGTTTTTCATCCGAGATGACCCATGTTCGAACTCATCGAGCTATCACCTAGACAAGCATCTTGATCAAGTTTGATGATGATTGATGCAAAAATGTGACCGCTAAAGTGTTAACAAGGTTTTTCTATTTATAGCTCCGGTGACATAGTTTTTTCATCCGAGATGACCCATATTCGAACTCATCTGAGCTATTATCTAAACAAGCATCCTGACAAAGTTTGATGATGATTGGGTCAAAAATGTGACCACTAGAGTGTTCACAAGGTTTTTTCTATTTTTAGCTCCTGTGACCTAGTTTTTCATCAGAGATGACCCATGTTCGAACTCATCCAAGCAATTGACTAGACAAGCATTCTGACCAAGTTTGATGATGATTGGTTCAAAAATGTGACCACTAGAGTGTTCACAAGGTTTTTCTATTTATAGCTCCTGTGACCTACTTTTTCATCCGAGATGACCCATGTTCGAACTCATCCGAGCTATCACCTAGACAAACATCCTGACCAAGTTTGATGATGATGATGGGGTCAAAAATGTGACCTCTAGAGTGTTCACAAGGTTTTTCTATTTTTAGCTCTTGTGACCTAGTTTTTCATCCGAGATGACCCATGTTCGAACTCATCCGAGCTTTCAACTAGATAAGCATCCTGACCAAGTTTGATGATGATTGAGGCAAAAATGCGACCGCTAGAGTGTTCACAAGCAATTGTGGACGGCCGGACGGACGACGGACGACGGACGACGAACATTCACCGATCCTAAAAGCTCACCCTGAGCAAGCTCAGGTGAGCTAAAAAAAAAAAAAACGACAAGTATAAAAATCGCAATTACAGGCAAAGGTGAAATCTTTGGGATTGTCTCCATATACAAATGGTTGAATTGTTATATTGTACAGTGATGGTAGAAGAGTATATGGCAGTCTTATCTTGTTATACACATACGGTACACTAGAGGTCGTCTCGTACATATACGGTACACTGGAGGTCGTCTTGTACATATACGGTACACTGGAGGTTGTCTCGTACATATACGGTACACTGGACCCCGTGGCACGTGGAGTAGGTGTTGTAGCAGGCGTCGATTTCTTTGTCTTCTTTGTAGCATCTTTAAAAAGAAGGTAAACAAAAAGTAACTTGGTTCGTTTTAGCTGACATGAGCACAAATTGACCATTGTTAGCTCTTGTAAACGCAAACCACTGTGACACATATACTCAGAAACCTCTTGGTAAAGTTTGATGAAATTTGCCCGATAAGTTCATATAACTTCCTAACATTAAGCTCTTTATTTTAAAATTCACCTAGTTTGGAACTGCATAAGCTAGAGCTGAGATATTTAGCATAAAATATTGTCTAGTTTACCTCTACCAAAGTTGTTTAAATCATAATTATGTTATGGCGTCGAGCTTTGATATCTGCATTTTATGAAGCTGCAACTTTGAAATCTATATACAATATACACAGTTTGACATGCAAACAAATTTAATATTGGCTGACGTATAATTTGACCCCGTGACCTTTTTTATGCATTTTGAGCTGAAGTTTGAAAATCTTGAAAAATAAATCAGAATTCGAATCTGAACCTTTAACTGTGCATATAGTTCAAATTTCTAAGTACAAAAAATAGATCAAAATCTAGGTCAGCGTCTACAATATTATGACATAATTTTCATTCATAGCTTTCAATATTAAACGTCCTGTGTCATTAGGATACAGGCAGGGGAATGCATAGATCCCTAACTAATTATCAGAATGGTGGATACAATAAGAAGTTCACCACAAAGTAATTTTTAACGAACGAGCACATGTCAATATTTGTTATTAAATCTATTATATTTTATTCAAATAAAAGGCCAGAGTAGGGATCTCAATTAGCGCCATCGGGCTCTCCTTTTAGAAAATAATATTTAAATATAATTATATAACTTTCCTAAATGAATAAACTGTATAGAAATTGAATAACTGTCTTTATAGCTTGTTATCTGTGAAATAAGAATGAAACAACTGTGGTGGTATTAATTATCATCTGTTAATTAAGTAATATTATTTTCTCCATACATTCCAATTAAAATATTACAAGACTAAAAACTGTATTACAATTTGCTGGAATGAAGATTGAACTTTAAAATGATTATAGTAAAACTGTACGACGAACAACGTTTGGTATTTATTACACTTAAAACATATACTAGTAGTATTTCTTAAACATGAAATATAGCTAATTAATAAACTTTTCAGCCTACTTACCATGTACAGGTAAAGTTTGAGATTCAATTTGGAAGGCTTCACCTCGTCCTTGTCTAGTTTTTGCTGAAACATTGACCCAGTACTTTTGGTTTGCATCAAGGTTGTTCAGTAATATTTGGTTGTTTAAAACATTGTCGACTTCTAGTTGAAAAACACGTGTCCCTCCCACTTAAAAAGAACGTTAGCAACATAAGACGACAAAACATATTGTATCCGTCAGAATTGTAGAAAATTAGAGACCTATATCGTGTTAGATTGTTAACTGTTAATCACGTGTCCCTCACCGCGTTTGGTTCGAATCCCGTTATGTACTTTAGATTATGTTACATGGGGATATTTTTTTTTGAAGGCCGTCATATCTTGTCAGGTCTCTGCTCTTGCTGGCTGGAAGCACATTTAACATAGAGGTACCTAATGCCTTGCTTCACCAGTAAAACTGGAGATGCATCACCTACTGTTTTACAGCATCGGTCATATGGATATTTATATGATGATTTTGTCATTGTGACATCTTTTTAAACCTTTGCATGAAACCAGCTGCATGCAAAGTAGAAAATAGCCGTATTTATACATTTATCTAATACTCATTGTTTTAATTCATACTCACACTTTGCATATCTGATATCATATCCTATAAGGTCACCATTTGTTTCCTCGGGTGCTTCCCATTTAAGTGTTAAAAAATCTGCTCCTCTTTCTATTATATCCACTGCTTTTACTGGACCAGGAACTGGTGTATAGATCGTAACAATATAATTGTATAGAAGTATGTGAAAATCGATCCAATGGTCATAAAAGCATTAACCATTTTATATACAATAAGTTCAAAGATAATTTAAACATGCGTAAAGCTAACAGAAGGTTTAATAGAATTAAGCGAAATGTCCAATTGCCATTTTTTTGTTACCAGTTAGTATAGTCAGTTTGCATGCACACAATTCAATATGCAAACACAATCACAATTTTTACAATGCTAAATATCTTTAACAGACTTGATCATCTTTCAATATTCTTAACACCACGTATCATTTTTAGGAAAAGTTAAAAAAATATTTAGTAGCGAAGAGTTCAGACGGCACGGAAGTGCTGGCTTACTTTAGTCTACACAGATGGCATAGGTAGATGTAGATGCCACCAGCAGGCAATGGGTTTATACACTGATATACTGTACATAAACAGGCTTTATCCATAATATGGTGAACAAGATCAACATGGGAAGGTGGCGTTCATTGAACGTAGCCCACACACGACCCGGCAACAAGGACCAGTCGCCAGGAGGACCACAATACCGAATCTGCAGTAGTTTTAATTTGTAATGTTTGATGATCTCGGAGGCTCCAATTTTAACTTTCTTTCTAACATGTTTACAATAGAAAATATAAACTTTATATTTTTTCAATTTGTTCTACTTCTTTAATGTCTTTTTCAAGCGATGTTCAACTGGTTCTGTGTTTGAATTTACTTTACTTACCGCCTTGTCCCGAGTAGCCAAGATATTCTACTGGTGGCACGTGACATTCTCCGACATCATTTACAGCCGCTACAGTAATAAGGTATGGCTCATTCACGAAACCCGTGTGAATTTCTCTAGTAGTCTCCCTCCAGTCATTGACTTCTATATTAGTGATATGTTCATCTTTGCTTACAGCAAGTTTGTATCTAAATCCTGGACCGTTATGTTCAATTTCCGGCATTGCCTGGCGTCGTAAAAGTAATGAAAGGTTTCGTAAAATAAATACAGAAGCTTAATATTTTATCAACTTATAATTGCGAATTGCTCAACTGTTCAAAAGAAGAAAGGAACAAGTCTCCACTATAGTTTGGAACAATATCCAAGAGTTAAATGGGAACCGTCTTAAAATATAGGCATGAATTTAACATGACACCTTTCTGCGAGACCCTAAAAGTACAGGTTGTCTGTGTACGCAGATAGAATTGATGATATTTATTTGATTAAAATTATATCTTTTTATTCATTACAATGTTTTCTGCAAAATCAATTTCTAAATACAATGCTGTATCATCATGTTCGTAGTCCATGAACAATATATACGTTTGTTTTACATTTCATTTAATCAATATCATAATACTAATTCGTAAAACATTATTACATAACATAACATACTCGTACGTATATAAGCAGAAAATATCCACATAAAAATCTTTTACACCGTATACAGAACTGTTTCTAAAGGTCTACATGTCTACACTGACATGGATATCGTTACACTAATGTTTAATTAGCTGATAACATAAACTTACATCCCATTTTACAATGAGCCAGCCAGGTTTACTTGTGTCTGTGCGGACATTTGACGGATTTTTGTCCGGAACCTGGCTCTCTGTTTTACATACAGACGCTGAAGGAACACTTGCTTCACTCTGCCCGATCACATTCTCAGCTATAACCCTGTAACCCAAGTAACAACAACACTAACTCAAAATGAGAAATTCTCATATTAATTATATTACAAATAATTGGCGCATCTATTCAATTAATTTACGCTTAATTTATAATTGCCTCTTTTCCACCCTCTCCGTCGTGCTTCGGTAAATTGATATCTTAATTGCAATAGTAAGGAATTTTGCCATGGAAACAGCAAGACCGTTAACACAAGCAATATAAAATTCAAATAATTTGCTTTACAGACTAAATTAGGGAATAACCAATACAACAAACATATTTATTTATGTTACATCAAAATTCATTCCGATACATTAAATGCCGATGCCAATGACATTAAAAAAATAACCTTTGACATTAGTTCAGAGCAAGGTAAGCCCGCATCTATGCTATTCCTATTTTGAAACCCCTTAAACTTTAAATTGGTTGGTCCAAAATCAAAGTAGAGTAAATTCTTGGTTAAATTACCTGAAGTTATAACTAGCAAATGGTCTTAGTTCCACATTGACCTCGTTGACTAACTCATTGCTCACAGTAGCAGCTCTTGTCCAGACATCTGGTGACAACGAGTGGTTGTATTCCACGTGAAACTTTTGAATTGGTGAATTTATGTCGGGCATTGAAGTCCATGTGATAACAGCACTATGTTTCGTGCAAGCAAGTATAGTGACGTCATAAGGAGGATCTGGTGGCGCTGTTTGTGTTATATAAAAATATAAGATATAACTCTTTTTAATCTTTAAATACATGTAGATATAAATTAAGCATTTGCATAATTATTTAACAGAAGGTATTAAACAAAAATGAAGTAAATTAGAATGTAAAACCGTCTTATAATTGACCTAATTTACATGTGCAGAAATATCCAGGTTTTACACCATGGCACTTTACCTTTAGAACTCCCTAGTTAGATAACTTAATTTGTTTACAGCAGATCACAAATTTTCCGCCACGGTATCTTACACAAGATCCGTGGCACAAAATACACTACATCCCTACTAAACGGTGGCTCTTTCACAGTTTGCTGATCTGTTTAAATAAAAGCCCATAGCACTTCCATTGTAGAGTCATCAGCCAAAATAAAGCTGCACTTCCAAGGACCAAGTTCCAAAAAGCGATCAAATTATCTAAATCAAAGACTATATTTTGGGAAGTTTAAAATTCTACACCTAATAAAACATACATTAAAAAGAACACCTTTTCATCTGAAAGCCATCCAATCAGTAATGAAGTGGTTATTGAAAATGGAATAATTATAATTTTTCAGATATATAGAGACATAACAGATAACATAGAACATCATCAAGGTCACTTTAGAATCTCAATCAATTTGGAAATTCTCTTTTAGTCTTTCCACAAGTGTTAATCGGCATAATTCTACAATCTCGATACTTATTGAATGGTTGTATATGTGTTTGCTCCGTCAGATTTGTGAGGGTCCTATCACATATTTTTTTTGCCAAAGGGGGAGATAAGAATTATGTTCCATGCACGATAAAGTGGACATACATTTACTTTACGGTAAAACAATTACCACAGATGTATTTAAACGTTAGAAACAACATACAAGTTAATATTTGGTTACATCAACGTCAATTTAGGATATTTTGTATCGAAATTGCATCCAAAATGATGAGGAAAATGTTCTTCCTGTGATAGCATTGTTTGAGTTTTGTAAAACAAGCATATTTTTTAATCGCGTTTTTTTTAGAAACTGTGTTTACCTTTTGTAACTGGATTGTAATCATGTTGTACTGGATTATCTTCTCCAGTTGAACCTGTAAAATATTCAAATACATAACAGTTTACTTAGAAAATGCGATAGGTTGTTGTTTATTTCAGCATCTATCACATTGTTTTTAAATTCAGAACACGTAAATATACTTCATGTATATGCTAGTAAAAAGAAAAGCATTTGCATATGTGTTAGAACTGTAAATACCTGCAGGCTAGTGTAGTTTCAAGTTCTTGTTACACAGGATAAACAAGGTATTATTATAATTCCTATATTTATTACTTATTTCACACCTTATAGATTAAAATCAATGACCTCTCAGCGTTAGAACCACTGATGTTGCAATATACATGCATGTCACTATTGGATCCATTATGATTAATTTAGCCACGTACCTATTTCGATAGTCCAAAATATCTATATCAAATCCATATCGAACTCCAGTCAAAAAATCATATCAAAAACCTTTTTGTACTTAAAATCAATAAAATTAAAAGTTGTGGAAAGAATGGTTGTGTGAAAATACATTTTTTAGAACAATTCTGACTCTATAAGACTCATACACAGCTGCAAAAGCTGTATCAGACTCGGATAGCGCCTTGTACAATATAGGTTTGATATCTATCTTTGCACTCGTCAAATAGAATTCAGTATTGTGCACAACAATTTATAATATACGATGTATTTTGAATGCCGATATCTATAACTTTGATATTTTAATGCCCACGTTTTGATACACATTCGAAGTATTCTTACTGCCGCTATAAGTAATAAATGAACGCGGAATTGTTATTGCTTATATGTAATACAGCATATATGAAGATGTTAACATGCTAACATTAACCAGTATGTCTAGCAACATTGGCTAACAAGATGAAGAAGGTTATGGTTAATAAAGTATCTCAAATTCAATGTTGCATGATTAACATGTATTTGTATACTCTATCTTACAATAATGGGTTATATAATTTCTGGTTACATAAGTTATGGTTATATCCAAGTTCTGACGATATCAAACCAGATAATTTTAACATTCTATTTTGATGTTCATGTAGTAACATGTATGAACATGTCATGTTGCCTTCGAATACTGTACAAAAATGGCAACTAAAGCTATACATATGTCTGGTGTTTATATAATATCCACTCCTAGTTAGTGTATGAAATATGAGGCTGATATATTGCCAAACATTTTGTAAAATATAAAAATGAGGGATGTTTAAATAGTGTATATAATTATTAAAGGTTTTTTTTTGTACTCACGAACATTTCAAGGATTGTTTTTCTTCAGAATCTCACTGACGTTTATTTTGACAGCCATTGTCAAAAAGTGTTTTTATATTACATGTATATACTAAATATGATTTTTTTTAAATAATTGAGACTAAATTTTATATATTTGTATAGGCGTTTTAATTAGTTATCACCCTGTCAATAAGAAATTGTTTGTCTTCTATTTTTGTTTCTCCACCCTCCGCAATATTCCTACTCCCCCTTTACAGTATAAAATTCTACACATAAATCTAAGTTTTCCGTTTGATCTTTCACATCGTTTGTTTTCCCTTACGCTTTAGTGGACCATTTGGTCGCCGTTACTATTTGCTATTATGAGGCCTGAGTTTCGTGAACGTTGCTGCCCCTTGTAGGTCTCTGTCCGTATTTTAAGACACATCGAGGCTGCTAGCTAAGACCATACGTTCAACTTTACTGATGAACAAGTCAGACCCCCAACCGGGTACAACCTACGATTTATTGTCAGCTAGCTGAATAACTTCTTCACATGTCAGGCAGGGTTTGAACCTCCTGCGGTAAGATATAAATCTGCAACCATAACAAAATGGCCACGGATGTTCTCGAAACACGAGATGTACAGCAATGTAAGTTAAAAATAAATATTTAAATATTCAAATGATGAAAAAATAAATATTGACAACTTACACCCTAGTCCAATAATAATCAGTATGATGCTATAATCCAATACGTAAAGGAAATTCATAACTTAACCTAAAAGATGCTAAAACTGTACTAGAATTAAGGCATTCTACCAATTGAAATAAGAAAAAAAACTGTTTAAGGTTTTAGCATAGGAGTGTGGGAATTTATTTTATTTGTCAAAACTACGACTTATAAGTCAATGTTCACATGTCAGACGTTTATAAACTTTACAGTAAAAACAAATAAGACATCTTGAACACCTTGGGCGATTTTAAGAAATTCTTTATAGTTATACGAAAATATACTTTCCAGAAAAATCTAATTTGCTGCACAATATTTTGGATATTTAAAATACAACGACGCTCTTTGTGATTGAGTCTGTTCATGAAAGGTACTGGAAAGTGCATGCTACACTTTACATGCTACACCATTCAACATTTTACATAAAATAGTTTTAATTCAAAGGTTATCGTGGCACTTTTTGTGGGACACGGAAGTGTCATTCTATAAAACGCGGGTGTTGTATGGTTTCTTTTTTTAATGTGTTTGTCTAGAACGGAATAGAAAATAAAAGTAAATGGAATTTTGAAAGAAGATCATCAGAGGTTATGAAACCTGCATAATCAGACAAACTCTCAAACGACAAATTTACAAAGCAGTCAGCACATTTTAAAGGGTGATACAACAATTCATTAATCCAATGACTTATATACAGCACATATTCAAGTTTTTTTACAACCATTAAACAACAACCTTAAATATTTGGCTCTTATTATTTTGATCATTTAAAAGGGTCAATGTACAAGAAGCGGAAATCATTATTTTGTATTACGTCGTAGCTGAGCGAGCATGCATGCAGTGGTTGGGAATTTATTCAAGTATTTCACATGTCACTTTTATCTTTTATATCAAGTATATTTATCGCCTACAATAATAATATTGTAAAACTACACTGAAAAGGTCATTCACTTTGTGGCGTTAAGAATTACGGAATAAAAAAAACAAACAACAACAACAACAAAAAAAAACAACGTCATACAATAATCTTTTACATCAAAAATACGTTTGTATTTATGATATAGAATGTAACACTATAACCTTTCCTATACTTTTTAATTGTATGACATGGTGTAACGAATTATTCAGTTTATGTTGTCCGGAATTTCAACATTATTGTTATACTTCAAATGAAATGTACATGTACATAAATTCAAAGTCCTAACATATATGCTTTGGACAATTTTTCTTCATAGGACCACATAGAAAACGTGCGTTATTTGTTTTCGCAATTGATATACTTTTTTTCGATGACACAATGTCTTTGCAACTAAGAAATCTTAAGAGATGCTTTTTTGATAATCACATGAAAAGGTTATTTTTGATTTTTTTCATCTTAACTCAGTTATACTTGTGACCGAAACTTCAGGACTTCTGCTAAAAAATTTCTTTCGTCTCGACCTCTGAAAATAGATTTTATTTCTCGTTTTTTAGGTTATAGTTCCGCATGTATGAGTTGTAAGGCCTTCATAAGGTACCCCTGTAGTCAATTTACAGACGAGTTTTCTGGGAAGTGAACATAATGAAATACACGACTTATTTGAAGAAAACAAAATGCTTTTCATTGTTGAAACTGATGTGCAAATATTTCGAAAGAAAATATCCCGTTGTGTGTGACTATTGCAAGACTGTAACATACGAATATGCGTTACATAAAGTGTTTCATTGCTTACATTATGATAACATTAGATATAGTCTATGGACAAAACTCATATCTTTACTAGGACACAATTATTTCCGCATGTTAAGTGGTATGAGCATTGAAAACCAACTTATAGAGATGTTAAGTGGGTTCACAAGTTTTGATATTAATGACAATATACGTATACAATGTTTTATCGCAGTTGCCAAATTCTCAACTGAAATTTTGTATTAATACCAGCGGTGCCAAAGAAATCTTAGAAAATCGTTAAGAATGATTGTTCTATTTATCCATGCCAATGATTTTCTTACAGTCATATGTCAATTTATATATGTTTCATTGCCATATGTAAGCTTTCATATATGATCAATGTTTTGTTAACTATCATGCCATTTGTTTAGGAGGCTAATGCTTTATTAGTCATCGTATTAGTATATTTATTATCTGTGTTTCTGTTTTGTTAAAAATTATATTCTTACTTTGTAGATATAGAATCATATTTGCATTATAACATGTAACTCTTCAGTATTGGAGGAAATAAAGATATATATATCTTTATCATGAGTCTGTCTGTTTATTTTATGAATCGCATAGTAACATGACACTAAGTAAATAACTTAGATAAAAAGAATTCTCTTAGTTTTATTTTTATTTATTTACTTATTTATTTATTTTGGCACGACTGGACTGACAATTATTTTCCGAGATTATTGTTCCACTTGATGAAAGTCTAGGTAAATAGCTAAATAGGTAAATTTCAGATCATATGTTTACTTTCTTTCTTCAAGAACCAGTATTCTCATTGTGAAAAATGGCCAAATATTGAAAAGCGTTGTAATACTTTCGCTCAAATCGGTCTAAGAATAGTACAAAATACGAATTTCAAATTATTTTTTAGTGCATTTCTTAATGGTGTTTGGCACATCTGTCAATTTTAAGTGTCCCAGCTGGTCTATGTAAGAATTTTCAAATCTTATGAATTTAGGGTTTTTAGCCTCGTTGGAGTTCCTAAAATCCCTCGAAACGTCGAAGACTGATAATTTTGTGCGAGAGAAAATTATTTAGTTTTTGTTTTCAGAGTGGTTTCTTTTAAGTTATAACGTTTTTTCACATTCATCATTTCAAGCGCTGTAATATGTATAGAAACCATAACCCTTATCCCATTCCTTGCTGTATTCAGATCGGTCAAGATAAAGAATAGAAAAAGAAGATTGTGAACAGACCCTTGTCTTGTCCTTTAAAGGCCCATTATGCCTCAGAAACGCTTATATTTTCATTTCTCAAAAGCTTTTTAATTTTGGTTTACTTTAATAGGATCTAAATATTACTATTAAGTGGCCTATTACGTGAATTATCTTTTTCATCTTTTGCTTTTTGGCAAAAAGTACAGTTATGGCGATTAACTATTTTGTATGGAAGTCAAAATACTACTTTGTTTACATTTTCCTACTTTTATCACAAATTATTTCGCATTTATCGCATTGTTCTTCAGGTAACACTCATCTTACATTATTCAAATCCAATATTTAAACATTTTTAAATTCATGTTTCCCCTTTTTTAAGAAGTAAAAGTTTATATGTTTCAGAGGTATAATGTGCCTTTAAATAGTAAATGTTGCTATCATGTGTTTGTTTCTTAGCAACAATAAGAACGTTCGATTTTTCGTCTGGTTGGCCTGAATTTCGTACACACACTTTATCCGTGTATCATTTACCGCCATAATTTTGAACCTGTGCTGAACCACCGAATATAAGCTTGCTGAATAGTTTTTCCACATTGATAAATCCGAACTCCTCGCAAGGTTTCGAACCCACAGAGATGACAGGCATTGGTTTTAAGTCGAAGCCTTAACAACACGGATACAGAGAATTCACTCCTATATCAAAACCAGCAGTACATTTATATATGTTCATACAATATATTTTAGCGTTAGTATATAATTAAATGTATATATGTATGTTCATATTTGTATTTCTCACATTAACGTTTGTATTTGAACCCGTGTTACCTACCGGCTCTTTTGTTAAAAGCGGTCTGGTAAATCACTTACCGACCGCTTAACAGGTCTGCAAATATATACCGACCTGTTTTTGTTCTATTGTTCTCTATACAATAGAAAATATGTGAAGTCGAGAAACTCGTGCAATACAGTACACAATATCAACCGTAAAATAACGCTGAATTGTGGGGAGGGGGGGGGGGGGAGGGGGGCAGGGGGGGGGGGGGGGTAAATGACCACTTGAATAGGAAAAAGGGTCGGAAAAGGGTCGATATATATTTTAAAGATTAATAGAAATGAATTAGCGCATACGACTGTAAGGACCCTCATAACATATATTCCAGATTATTTGTGAGAAAAACGAACTGAGTTGAAGTATGTGTTTCGCCAATATTAATGAGTACAACAACGCACATTTAGCCTTTCTTTATAGTTTGCTTTTCGGTATACCTTACACATTTGCCGAACTATATAGCTTCATTAGATACTAGTTTTCGGCATTTATTTCCACAACTATGTCTGATTTTGCACAATCCTGCATTATTTAACAATTCTGAATTATGGGATATATACGACGATTATATTATTGGTGCATATCGAAGTTAACTTCTGCATCTTTCTTTCCCAAAATTTTTCTTTCAGTGAGAGTACAGATCATCTTAAGTATAAGATCGTTTTTCTCATTTTTTCCCAGTTATTTTTACATAACAATTTTAATTTTGTATACCAGTACTCGCTTGTTCTTCGCAAGAATACGACTTGCGCTTCCATTCCATGTATAAGAAATAGCCTGGTCATCTATTTACCATGAAATTTATTATATATAAAGATACAGTGTTTTTTATGATAAGAAAACTTTTTTTTCTCAAAATTTGTTAATATTATTAATATGTTATGAATTCATATATCAAAATAATGATCTTACCTTTCCCTGCTCGTAAGTTCTGATTTCATTTTCTGTGACTCAAGTCAACAAGTACATTACCTGACATTATTACATAATAAAACCCCACGAAAATCACGAGAATATTCAAATGACACCTTATTTGTGAACGAATGAATTACAAGAGCGTAGCGGATGGTATTTTTGCTTGGATTTGGAATGCTTTCTTAAACATGATAAAGTACATAGATAATATGTTTCTTGTGAGTAATATTAATAAATACTGAGTTTAAAACTGATATATGGATAGAAAGACAAAAGCGCATGAAGGTAAGATAGTTACCGCACTCGGAATAGGTCTGCATAGTATTTACAGACCCGGTGGCCTTTTAAAAACCTCAATCGCTACGCTCTCTCGGTCTTCAAATCGCCACCCGGGTCTGTAAATACTATGCAGACCTATTCCTCGTACGGTAACTATTACTTATAGACTACTAACTCCGGAAATAAGAATATTTGGTTTGTCCCAGCTACTCCGAGGATACAAACACAACTTTTACAGTTACAACTTTGAAAATTAGAGCACCAGATTGGTTATACACCGTGAAACCTTAACAGTAAACGTTTGTTTGTACTGGGGGATTAGGGTAAAAAACAACATTTGCTGAGTTCCGGATAACAACTATTCACGGTAAATGCAGATGTAAATAAACAAGTCAGTGTTCTATTTGTTATTTAGATGACTATTATTTCTTTTAATACGTAGAGTAACGTTCAAAAGTTTATATTTGAAGAAGAAAAAAACTAAATACTGACAAGTTCTTGCAATCTACAGGTTTCAAATTTTTCATATAGAGTAGGTAGCCTCAGTTCTATTTCAACATATTGGTATTCAAGTAGCTGGAGATTTTCTATCTGATACATAAAGTCACCAGAACATTATACTGAAAAGAAGAACTGTTTCTACAGAGGAAATTGTTAATAATTCAAAACGCTTTTACAGTCTGTATTAAATCCAATGTTTTACGTAAAATAATCATCAACTATGATAGACAAGTTTATATTTGAGAAATCCCATCACTTATAATCAATTAGATAAAGATAACATCGTGAACTAGTATATTAGTTAGAATATACAAACGACAATCATGTATTTCGTAGTTGTTTTAAGTTTGATATTTCTATGTGACTTTAAGAATTGTGACTTGATTAGACTACTATAAAAAGAGGTTGGAGTGTGGAAATTACCGGTATATCACAAAAGTTTGCAACATTTAACTACTATGATTTTATTTGATAATGACATATCCAGTGTTATCATAGATAAAATGTACAAGTGTTTTCAATATAATTTGCTTATGAAAGTCTTTAACAAAAACTGAATGAAGTGGGTATATTTTACATGAGATAATAATTAAGATACTTATAATGGCATGATCGTAATTCACGGAAATCGTTTGTTGTTATGAACGTCATTGTCGTTGATCGACGCGTACTATAACTTGTGATCTTTAAATCGATGTATCCGTCGCTCGCTAATGAAAAATTGAGCGTTACTATAGAAACATTTTTCTTGTTTTGTTTGAGTGTATCCTAGAGACAGACCGCTTGTGGAACTGAAGCGTATGCGCATGCGCGTGGTTGCGTGAGAAACGTATGTGTTGTGGAAACGTCATTTATCTATTAGGTTCTCCGTTGAATCAGAGTGACATTATCTGAAAGATTTTTGTGTCTTACAAAATAAAATATTTGGTTTTAGCGAAAAGACGTTTCCATTTAAATGAATCCACACAAATGGAAAAAGAATTTTTGCTAACCTCTCTATCAGAGAAGTTATTGATCTAGTGTTTGTAGCTGTATAACGCTGTTTGACTATATATATATCAACTCGACAACAGATAAAGCAGAGAGATGCGAAGTTTGAGAACGTTTATATAAATACATGGTAAAATTATTCTGTCTTTATAAAATGTGGACTTTATTGTGATTTAATAAAACAACGGATCACACTCGAAATAATGGGAAACGCTTCGTCAATAGACTCTTCTGTTGTCGCTTATCTGGAAGTGAATGGAAAACAGGAAAAGGTAGGCTTCATAATATAATTATCTACCTATATTTTAATACAGATTTGAAAAATATTCTATGTTACAAATATAATAGAACGTATACAATACAATATGTATCATAAATAAGTTTAAGCGCTTCCGTAATTGTACATATACATGATACGTTTGACCATCATGCAGAAAGATAAGTAAATAAGTAAATAAATAAATAAATGAATAAATAAATAAAAATAACGCAACACATTTATTTCATACTGGAGAAAAAAATCAGTAAATAAATCTGGCTTGAGGGACTTAAAAAAGTTTTGAATGAAAAGTGAAGAATCTTTGATATTTTTGCCACAAACGGAAGTAGCATTGCTCAGTGGTAATGCGCAGGAAATAATAGTTTACTGAGTTGAAATAACTCGTAAGTTAAAAAAGGCTAGAGTTCTATTGCTACTCGAAGAATGGTTATTATTTTGTTGCAATGAGGAGAATGAGTGTTATTTTGTTGCAATACGGGGAATGATTGTTATTTTGTTGCAATATTAAGAATGATTGTTATTTGAAATAGCTGTTACTTCATGGTAAAACTTGGAGTGGCTGGTTTTTTTGTGGTGCACGGTTGTTATTGTGTTGCAATACGGGGTAAACATTGTTATTTTGTTGCGGAGAATAGCTGTTATTTTGTGTCGACACCATCATGACTTTTGTTTCTCTTTTGCGATACTGAAAAATGTTCTTATTTCTCTTTTGTGACTTGATAATAGCTGTTGTTTATTTTTAACGACGTGACTGAACTGTTGGTAATCTTATTCAACATAAAGTATGCCTGTTGTTTCATTATTTTGCAATAACGGCTTGTATAACATGTGCTGATGAATACGGTGTACGCACGGAATATATACACGCGTTATTATGTTATGAGAAATTGTGTCACCCGGCAACGTTGTTACATAAAGAACAATGGTTGTCACATTTTTATTTATATAATCATAAAAGGAAAAACCATATAACACTTTACGTCATGGCTGAAACCGACTGTTGTTATATGTTTATGCTGTTCTGTAAAAGAAAATCTAATTACATGCCTAACTTATAATAATCTGCTGACAAACATGTTAGTTGATTTAAATAAGCCACGGTCATCATATGTAAATGCTACATTATATGATATATTTATTATAGGTTATGTGTTTATGCTATTAAACCAGTATAAAAGCAGCAGGTATTACATGTATTTAGGATCGAAATCATGAGTCAAGTGTTCTTATATATGGAAGGTCGAACTAGTGTGTTCGCGTGTTATTATATATGAACGATCGAAACCATGTTTTCCGTGTTCTTGTGTTATAAAATAAAGACCAGTTGACATTACGTGTTCAAGTTATTAAAAAAGGGACTGTTACTATGTGTTAAAATTATCATATAAAAATAGCCGGCATTTCGTGTTCTAGTTATTGTTTAAGATAATTTCAAAAATATAATATGATTATAAAACAAACGTGGTCACATGCTAACGTTATTATATATTGACACGAAAAGTAATACGCAGTTTGTTTCTAAATGTTCTTAATAGCCTGCAATAGCGTTAAGAAATTAGACAGAAGAATCTGTTAAAGAATCCAGAAGATCTCCTTAATATCTATAATAATTCTAATTAAATTTAAATGTAAGTAGTCTTACATAATCATTGTGAAGTTTAAACAAAGTATTAACTAAAAGTATGTAAATTTTAATTGAACAGATAAGTATGTTTGCCTTTTATATTTATTTTGAACTGCGGTACTTACATTTAGCGCATAACGTTGTTAGAAATAAATCTTGCAAATATAAAATAAACTCAAGAATAATTGACATAAATACAGATTCTTGATAGATCTATACTTAACTGCACTTTTAAATTGATTTAATTCACTATGTACAGTCTTTGAGCAGGATCTCTAGACGTTTGCAGAAATCATGATCACAAAGTAGAAAAAATATTGCTTTTTCCCCGCCAATTTTGACATTTTTATTCATTACTTTAAATATTCAAAACTTTTAAATTGGGTCTGTACGTAGCTGGTGCTGCGGTTTATAAGTATAGAAATATTATTAAACAATATTATTATCAACCGTTGTGTTGAAATTTTAAAATTAACCGTGTGTCATTAATTGTTTTATCAAGTTCAATGAAATCGATCAATTTTATGTTGTTTTCTATTGAAATTTTGTAATTTTGCAAAATTAGTATTTCTATCATTCATTTATTTTCCTAATTTTTTTTCTTGGATACCATTCGGCAATAAGCATGCACACTTTAGTTGATAAAGAATATATGTGTTGGTTAAGTGTATATGAAGAACAAGTTCATTTGAAATTAACAAATCGAAACGTATTCATTACTTTTATTACTGTGCTTTATTGAATACATCTCATTCATAAGAAATCATTTCCATAGAACATAATCTGTATGTTCAATAACAGCTCTTTATGTGTGTCTATACACTATAACCCAGAGGGACTAGCATGTTTGGTTTATTTATGTTGTTACAATGATGATTTCTGTAAAATTTTATAGATTAAATGTAAATTTTGGATCATACAATCTCTTAATATGCATTACATTTCAAAAGGAAACATTTCAATATAGGATTCCTCGCGCATCAATATGCGCATGAATACATTGTTGTCCATGAAACTTTAGATGTAACATGTGTTGAATAAAATATTTTATGTGTTTTTATAGTAGCACCACTTTTTAAAACAAAAAATATTTTTCTTTTTAAAGGTTTGATTATCTCAAACTATCAAGCCATAAATTAAACTGACAAAAATTACTCGCTTGCAAAAGAAAGAAATCTGGATAAAGGGTGATCCCTCGGAAGCATTAATCACAACAAAAATACATAAAAAAATTTCAGACTCGGTTTGATTTAATGTGCACACGAGGGATAAAGAAAACTGCAACATCCTTTACATCCCATAGCACGGGTTTGGTTGGAAATTTAGTATACATACATGAGCAAAATAGTGCAAATGTTGATACCAGATATGCCAATATTTTACTTAAATAAGTTTACAAAATGTCCGTGTAAGCAATACACACTTTCTTTTATAACTCGGTATACAGTATTTTAAGTACTATAATATACTTCACACTCATTGTTAATATTTACCAATCACTAAAATAAACATTATCTGTATGCGTATGTACGCAAATGTAACAAAAAAGTATTTTTTATAATATACACTTTATTAAATCTTTATCATTTTCATTTTTAGCAATGCTGATTGCTTGACTATTCGCACAACACTCGAGCTACTGCAGTCACGCATTTGTCGGCGTCGGTGTCGGCGTCTACGTCCCTGTGGTTAAGTTTTTACACGTAAGCTGGTATCTCCATAACTACTGAAGGGAATGGATTGAAACTTCACACACTTGTTCTATGTGATTATCTAACATGATTGGCACAAGTTCCACAACTCTGATTTGTTTTTTTTGTATATTTATGTCCCTTTATCGACTTAGAAATTCTTGGTTAAGTTTTTGCGTGTATGCTGGTATCTCCATAACTACTGAAGGAAATGTATTTAAACTCCACACAATTGTTCTATGTGATTATCTTACATGATTGGCACAATCCCCATAACTCTTTATTCTTTTGGCATATTTATGCCCCCTTTTCGAAATTCTTCGTGAAGTTTTTTGCGTGTAACAACGGAAGGGAACTCTGTACCTTTTTGGGACAATTTTATGTATTCATATAGGTAAGCATTATTATACTCAATGAAACACCCTTTTGACAAACAACTTGTTGTCCTTCTACAGCTTTTGTTAATTAATAAACTACATGTATTGGGAAAAACATAAATGAAAGATGTAAACATTTTATTATGAAGTAAATGATCACGATGTTTGTAAATTCAACTCTTTTTCTGTAAGCATTCTGTCATGTGTCACACTAGCAAGTTAATATAACCTTTTAGTTGATAAAATCACAATATTAATTAGAAATTCTTTACGTGTGATCAGTTCCTGTCAATTCGTCAATGTCTGCGGCGACAGTCTGGAATAAATCCGTGCATCACCTGTTCCCGATAACTGAATTTATATCAATATATTTACAGCGCAATAATGAAGCAGTTCTGTAAAGTAAGTTTATATCTCGATTTATAAGAAAAGTACATACAACCTGTTTATACCAAGATAACATTTCGTGGATATTAAAAATGAATATAGATACACCTACGTTGCTATAAAGGTACATATAAGAGTTCTTATATTTTAAAATATGCCACGACACACTGCGCATCTATAGATAATCTTTAAGTTCTTATTAGGGCAAGTTTTATCAGAATTAGCGATAAAATAATTAAAGATATACTTAATCTTCAAAAGATAAGTCATCTGTACCCATTGCCATTTCTAATTAATTAAGCTCATGATTTAACGTTACTTCGTTTCGTGACGTCATGTGGTAACACAAGTACATGTTCATTAGAATACTCATCCTATATAATAGATTAACACTATTTTCTGAAGAAAACCAAGAGATGATAAAAGTTTGATTTAAATGTGTTTGCTGTCGTACAACATCGTATTATATACGAATTGCCCCTTTGTAAATGAATTGGTCTATAATGGAAGGTTTTTAATAACATAAATATATATCTGTTCATATGTAATATCACTTAGAACTGTTACCAACATTTTTTTACAAGAAATATTTGTAAGAATATCCAAATGATACATTTCTAACGTTTTCATCAATATATGAAATTCTTATAAAAAAGTTCCCATGCTAGACTAATCGAATTAAAGGCAAATATTTCTTAACATAATTAAAGAGTCATCTCTATGGTGACGGAGATGTTCTTTTCACAAATGCACCTTCATTTTGATTTACATATTTTGACAAGTAAATTGTTTGAAATCTTTGAAACAATATTGTATCACGTGACTGTATCACGTGATTATATAACTAATTCGATTGTAAAAAAATCTTTTGCTTCTCCTGTTTTGGATTTCCGTGTATAATTAACGCATAATG